GTATACATGTACGCCTTCCGTAGCCAAGGTCGCGCTGAGGGAAAAGGAGTCCTAAAACTAGTAAAATTTACAGTGCGTTCACACAACACCCGGACTTGTTGTATAAGTACATAAAAAGAGTTTTACGGCACTTGCAACACAATTAGGTCATATATAAGTGTCCAAGATTAGAGGTGTTACAAGAGAGTAGCAAGGGGGGCTCTCGTGGCCTAGAGGTCAAGGTGTTGGCCTCTCATTCAAAGGTCCTGGGTTCGAATCCGGGTAGCGACCGAAAAATTTTCTTCTCTAAAATTGTCTCGTTTCACCTCCTTTCCAGCTCTCTAGCAATGTTCTGTTGTCTGCTTTCAATTCCACTTTCTGCCCTCACCCCCTCACCTCCTTTGCCCCCTCCTTTGGGCTCCTGACTCTTTCTGCAGCCTTTCTACTGCTACTCCTTGGCTCCTCCTTACTGCTGTCTTTCTGCCACACCCCTGATCTTCTGGTAGGAAAGATCTACACCTAGCCTTCTCGGACAAGGGCGAAAAATCTCGGAGGGCCCGTGTGCAAGTTGCGCACGTTAAAGATCCCTTGGTGGTCTAAAATCGATAAGAGTAGGCTTCGGCCGCCACCGGGGCAAAATTCCAAATTTCCTACCAACAAAAAATATTAGGTGTGTCCCGCGCGCTCATATGATCTATGCAGTTGCGAGCGCCGTAAAACACTTTACAAAAACAAAACAAAAACAGAGAGTAGCAACAAACCAAAAAAGGATTGGGGTTTACATTATGAGAACAACAGGAGTTCGGTAGGAAAGAAGGGACAAACCCAACCTCTTTGGGGCAAACCAATTTGCTTCTTCTTTCCTATCAATCAAACATCTATCGTCCTCATCTCCCCTTCTTCTTTTTTATGTTTGTTACTCTCTTGTAACACCTCTAATCTTCTGGCGCTCAAATGACGTTATGCAATTGCGAGTGCCGTAAAACCTATACTGAAACTAAAAAGAACCACCCACGCACACTCACCAGAGCCGTTGACTTGAACGCACGACTGGTGACGCCCGACTGGTAAAATGAACAAAATGTCTCTACATTGTTACACTGTGTTAACACCAGACTGCCGTTGGTGGCTGAATTCATTAAAAAAAATAATTCTCACGTTCATTATTTCAGTTTTACAGCATTGGTAAAGTTCCATTGTCAACAGCCGTGTGGCGTGTTTGTTTGGTAAGTGTTTTTACGGCGCTCGCAACTGCATAAGGTCATATGAGCGCGTATGACGCATTGAATTTTCAGTTACGTTGGAATTTTGAATTTTGCCCGGATGGCAGCCGAAGCCTACTCTTATCGATTTTAGGACCACAGAGGGATCTTTAGCCCGTGCAACTTGCACACGGGACTTCCTAGATTTTTCGCCTTTATCCGAAACGGCTATGTGCTAGATCTTACCTGCCATACGTTCAGGGGTGGGGCTGAAAGACACCAGTAAGACGGAGCCAAGGAGAAGCAGTAGAAAGGCTGCAGGGAGAGGAGTCCGGAGCCCAGAGGAAGGGGCAAAGGGAGGGAGGAGGCAGAAAGTGGAGACGAAAACAGACGGTACAGCATGGTTAGAGAGCAGGTCAGGAGGTGAAAGGAAATTTCCGTCGCTGTGAGGTTTCGAATCCGAGATATATTGAATGAGAGGCGAACGCCGTAAACCCCAAAACCACAAGAGCCCCCTTGTTGCGTTTTGATTTCAAATTAAGTGTTTAAGTGTAAGTCGGACGAAGTGTTAGTTCACGTCTTCACTTAATTTAACGGAGAGTTGATGTCCACCGCCCAACACAATCTTCTCTTCTTGCATGAACGCGCTGTTACTCTCACTCAAGCGCAAACACACGCAATGTTCATTATTAACACATTGACGCACATCTGCAAACGGGATAATGGTAGACATACAATGAGCACTTAACGTGCACGTGCTCACACGAATTCACACATTTCATGTTTTTGCTCTCTCCCCCTCCCCCTTCCCCCATATCTCTCTCTCTCTCTCTCTCTCTCTCTCTCTCTCTCTCTCTCTCTCTCTCTCTCTCTCTCTCTCTCTCTCTCTCTCTGTCTCTCTCTCTCTGTCTCTCTCTCTGTCTCTCTGTCTCTC